CGACGGATAAAAAATACGGAAAATCTTATTTTCTGTGCGTGAAATCGGAGAAAATAGCTAAAATAAGTAAAAATGCGGAAGGGTTAGCAGCTAGGGCGTAGATTGAATTTTCTGTTTATCTTTGAAAATCGTAAATAAATATAATTATTTTACTTCAATGACTGAATTTAAAAAAAACGGGATATTTATTTAAAAAAACGAAACTTTTAGAGAATCGGAGTTTTTGATAAAAAGGCTGAAATTCGAGAGACAAAAAAAATCTCATCCCTGTATAAAAGTCAACCAGTTTTATCCCAAGGAAATGATTTTTAGAGAAACTTCAGAGGGAGAAAAAGGGACTTCAATATCCCTCCGAGGAAAATTAAATTCCTCATAAAACATTTTAACTTGGACAAAAAAAAAATTTCAGCGAAAATCCGCGGGAAAAATCTGGAAAAAAAAGCGGAAATCCGCGAAAGAATCTCATCCCTGGCACATAGACATTAAAACCTCAACTGTAACTTAATTTTTATAAGTTATGCCAAATTAATCACTCACCAAATTCCATTGAGAATTTTTATTACCTTAAATGTAACATAAATAAAAATTATCACTTGTAAACTATATCTTTATCTAAAGGGAAAAAAATTCAATTTTCAACAGCCAGTTTATTTCAGGCCATTTTAGAATTGGTTTCATTATCAGATTATTCTCAAATTAAATTGGGAACTCTCTCTTTTTCGGTCTTGCATTTCAAATAGTTCTTGTGCCTATATGGCCGACGTCAAATGCCATTCAACAAGAGAAAAATAGCTTCATTGAAATTGAATTTGTAGCTACTTAAAATCCCACCATTATTTTTGTATTTCTGAATATTGCTAAGATATGGATCAACTATTCCCTCTCTTTCACAATTTTTGCAATGAGAATTCCACTCCTTAAATTGAAATCAAAATCATTGTATTCTCTGTAACTTTTAAAATATATTTTGTTAGCAGATTATCTGTTTTCCTCATTTACTTATTTGGTCTCAGAACTTTAATAAGTATGTTCTATTTAGTATTATTTTAGCTTTTTTACACTTAATTTTAATTAATACTAATCTTCAAACATTATGGACTAATGAACCTAATTAGTTAGGGAATGCTATGGATGCAATTAATAACTTTTGATGAGTACCATCATATGAATTATGTAATTGTTAAGTTACATTTATTTTCCTTAGTCTGCCAACCACATTAAGTTATGGGAAGGTACATAATGGCATTCCTAAAAGCAATAAAAATACCAATAACATAGTATAAATAAAAAGTTCTAAATATACCTTTGCACTTGTAATCTTTCCATACTTTTCAAACATTTCACGAAGCTTCTCATCATCAAGATCATCAGCGAAATTTTTGATGTACACATTCATGAATCGTCTAGCTTTTTGTCCCAACTGCTTTTCTCGTTCACTACGGGGTATAAACCTCCCGACAAATCTGAAAATGAAATCACATTCCTTCATAAGTCAGTGCAAGAATACAATTAAAAAACAGGATTACTTATACAATGGCTTTATGTTTCAACGTAAACTAAGTCTTATTTGTATAGTTTTTCTCTTATGCTTTCAAAATTAGTTTTAAACTTTAATTCCTTTAACATTTTTAATCTGACATGGCCTGAAGAAGAAAAAAAATTTGAAAAAGAATTAAGAACATTACTTTGCATACAACAAAATTCATTTAAATGCTGCTCTATATCAAATTCAATAACTAATGATTAAAAATCTGAAAATCAAATTCAAGGAAGAATCATTGTAACAGTAAAACAGATAACACTTAATCTTACTTTCAGCAGTCTTTGCTAAACACTAAATTAATCACACCTAAGCTGTTAAATATAAAATCTTAAAAAATAAAATCTTTTAAAACTCAACAACTTATTCATCACTCAAACTCAACATTTAGAACCATTTTTGAATAGCTGCTAGATTTATAAAATATAAATTCACTCTAATTAAATGCGTTAACACTACTTTACACTAACATATACATAGATATACTTACACTTTTCTTCCATTAAGAAGCATACCATTTACTTTAACAATGGCATTATTAGCTGCTTCTTCGGTTTCAAAGTGGACGAAACCGTACCCTTTAGAATTACTATCTTCATCTGTAGCAACCTATACATAAATCAAGAGAAAGTTCTATTAATGCGCCATAAGATCTATTTACAAATAAATAACTAATCACAAGGCTCAATAAAAGAAAAAGGAATTTTTAGACGGGCTTTGAAGAATATCAATGTTCATTTAGAATATCAACGTCTATTTTAATTTAGCTAAATAAAAAATTGGCAACTACCATACCATTTGATATATTTTGTTAAAGATTGGAATTGACCGATTCAGCATATCTATCACCATAGCGTCTTACGCAAATAAAAAATTAGCCTATCAAAGCAGTTTTTCTTTCTTTAAAGAAAGATATCCATTTTAAGCCTGGAATTATGGGTTACACTCAGAATACAATCCCTTTTAATTAGTTTTCCTTCACTCATTGGGTTTTTCATGTCAATTTCAGATCGATAAATTTCTAAATAGCCACTCTATTCACATCCTTCCCAGTGAATTGGTTCAATTAAAAAACATAATACAAGCTCCTCAGTTTTAAGGCAAGCGCTCCAAATATTTTATGGCTAACTATCATTGTGTTTGCAAAATTCTAGAGATTTTTATTACAGCAATTAACTTCTTTAAATGTACAGGCACAGCTAGCTACAAAGTTATGGAGAAACATTTTTAAACATTAATATGTGAAATAACCATATTATGAAAAATACATAAACAAACATTTTTTTAAAATTTACAATGAATTCTTACATCAATAAAGAGATTTATATGTATCATGATATGCTACGCCAGCACAAGTCCAAAGACGTCAAGTGAATTTATAATTTGCAAATATTAAAAATAAATTTAAAAAACATGTAGAGGTTTGCCAGAAATGGCTACAAGTTTTACCCTTAGAGTTGGTTCCCTTCTATGCTTTTTTATTTACTCATTTCTTACAGGCAAATGCCTGGCTATTTCACCATAAATCACAGTACTAAAATCTATCTATAAACAGAACATAACAGTGGAATAGGGATTACTTACCTTGCATGACAAAATATTTCCAAAGGCAGAAAATGTATCATACATGGCCTTATTGTCAATACTCTTATCTAGATTTTTAATGAAGACATTGCCCACTCCAGATTTCCTTAAGGAGGGATCTCTTTGGGACCACATAATACGAATGGGTCTACCCTTGATCATATCAAAATTCATTGTGTCTAAGGCTCTCTCCGCTGCAAAGAAAACAAAATCTATTAATTTCAGTTTTTATACAAGTCCGCATAGAAATATAATCAAGATACCTGATAAAAATAGTATTATCTACCCTAAACAAATAGAAAGTGGTCACAATTCTGTGCTTATTATGTAATTATGTGCTACATTTTTAATTTTGCTTTCCAAGAAAATTTTGAAAATACTGGGATTGAGATTTTAATTTTTTATTTATACATTGCTTAACCACTTCCTCCCTCATAGGGGCTTACATAATTCTTGAACAACTCCCACACCAGAAATCCTATTTATTAATAAGTAACATAGCTAAGTCAAATGAATAGCAATAAAGATTAAAGTCACACACAAAATCTGTTGAATTCAAATTGCATCTACAATCGTTTAAATACATAATGAATTTTGCGCCAGTCCTTCATTGACAGAGAAATTCACTGATATGTTGCAAGGTTTAACAAAAACAATGGTAAACTAAATTGGTAAAAATAGATTATAATCCATATCAAAATCAGAATGACAATCAAAATATATACATACAAAACACTTAACAATTGTGTTACCATTAATTATGATAAAGTTAATATATGTTACACCTTAATATAAGGTTTAAATTAATAGCTAAATTGTGTTATAAACCCAGATATTATCCAATCAGAAATAAGATACTTGATAATGATTGACAGTTTTTTCTTAATTAGCTAAAGAAATTCTTAAAAAATTTCATTTAAAGATATTTTTTAAATTATCAATTTGATTCCTAATTAGGATCATTTATCTATTTTACCCCCTGGTTTAATTTGCTGTTTTTAAAGCCAAAACTAGTAATAGAATTATCTATCCACATTATGGCTTTTGTCATTTGTGTTACACATAGGTGTAAAACCCTGAGGGCAATTCAGTTCATGCTTGCACCCATTACAATTGCAAAGACTTCGAAGGGTTCTTCTACTTAAGAAAAGAAGGAAATATTCAACATTGGCATTTGTTTACACAAAGCAGGGCAGATACAGATAAACGATTCGAAAATTATTTTCACGGTTCGTGAAATTTGTGACTTGTACTACATTCTTGTAAGACTCAATGAAGCAGAAAACAATAAATTTATACTACTTTCGTTTAACATAATGGTAATACTTATACTACATGATATTGAGCTAAATCTACTTCCATTAAATTTCTGAAAACTATTTAACTTACAACCATTTTCGTATGAAGATTGCACAGTTTTAGACTAGAACATTTCTGCATTGTGATCCGTACAGGGAGATTTTCTTATCCTGATGCGTGGCAGAATAATCACTGTATAACTTGCAGCCACACACGGGCAAACACCTACATGTTTTCTTTAAAAAAAAATTTGCAAGTAGACCTAATTGACACTTCAGCGCTTGTAGTTGGCTCAAAGACCAGGATTAGGAAATATCCCCATCCTTTTTAGCATGCAATTTAAAAAAACATGTAAATGATTGCTCAGAGGTGGCTACGAGCTATACCCTACGAGTTGGTCCCTTTCTGTGATGATCCACTTGGATTTACTGCAAAAGGGGCTTTAGTTAGCAGGTAACCTGCACACATTATAGTAAAAGTTTTGAGAACGAGCGCCACACAGTATTTGTTTCTTTGAAGGTTGAGCAAAACAGTCACCCACCCCTCTTACTAACCACTGACAGTGATGCTCGAGTATGGCATTCAGCTGGGATGTGTGTCCTCACAATAAGTCATCCACTGTGGACTGGTGTCATAGCTCCACAAATAGTTTTAAAATGCAATTCAATTTGAAAAGGATATCAGGCACACATTTAATTTACATAACTAATATAAGCAATCAGTCATAAAACATTTCCATTCAATGGCATGCACTTAGCCAGGTGCCCCACCTATTGGATCGATTTTTTTTTTAATTTTTAGCCTTTGAAGAAAACGGGGGAAATAACTTAGCAGCGAGGTTCGTTAAATTGATAAGAAATCGAGATAGAAATAATAGGTTAAATTGACAGTAAAAGCTTTCAGGTACAGTACACAATCCATTACAGTGCCTGCAATTCCACTCTGAATCAATAAATTACTAGTACTATTCTTTAAGATTATTTCCTAAACAATAATACATTTTTACTTATGTTAATTGTTTGAGCAACGTTATAAATACTTTACTTACCATCAACAGGCTGTTGGAAATTCACATACGCATAACCAAGAGATCTACGTGCAATAAGATCACGACAGACTCTTATAGATAAAACGGGACCAGCAGTTGAGAATTTTTCAAAAAGCATGGCTTCAGTAACATCATTATGAAGATCTCCAACGTACAATGAAGCAATGGGATAATTTGGACCATTTGGATTCATCGACATTTTCAAGCTGGCAAAATAGGCTTACAACACTTACAAGGATAATTCAGAGAATTTGGCTGAGGGCTTCAAAAAAGCAAATATTTTTCAGATTATTTATAAGTTTTTCAATTTTTTTTGTCTTTTATATTTTAATTTTTTTTTTTTAAGCTCAAAGAGCGTACATTTATTTTATTAGTCTAAAAATATTACCCCCACGCGAACAACGTAACGACCTAATGGTTTAAACTAAATGAGGTCAGAATTCCGTTAAATTTCAAATATATATATATTAGATTAGTCCGCGATAAAAAATAGTTCTAAAATAAACTATATGAAAAACATTACATAAAGGCTCCAATTAAATAATAATATTAAAGTATCAAATAATTGTTATTTTTCTGTAAATAAATTTTATTAAAAAAAATATTTAACTTAAATTTAAGAAAAAAATAAGTACACGCGATGAGCAAACACGTGTTTCATAAAAACTGCGTATACGTCCGCGAAAAGATTATACTGTTGCCATTAAATTTGTCAATTAGTATGAAAAAAAGGCTGAGTCTAGAGCAGCCGAGTTATAAGGATCATTACACTTGCAATGGAAAATAATAAATAAAGGTTTCAAGAGAAGGTATTCAGAGAAGTGAGATTCAGAACTGAAATTTTACAGGTTTCAAAATCAAAACTCTAGATTCTGGGAACTTTCCCTTTAGTAGATTAAGTATGACATATGATCAAAAAATATAAAATTTATTTTTTGAAATGATTTTTATCTTATCAAATTATTCATAAACTATTGTTTTTGATTTGGAAAGCCTTCCTTGCTAAATTTTCATAGCTTTTATGCGTTATAAAAAATATTATTCTCTGACAAGTAGAGGAATCATCCAATCCACTTTGCTTGTATTAAAATTTTTTATAAAATTCATTATGCACCCACATATGTGACTATACAGCTTCACGGTAAAGTAAAACATTTGAAATCCTTCTTTTATAGAAATCATCCCCTTTATTAAAGAAAACAATTTATTTAAAAAAATTTTCTTAATTCATTAAGTCGTTAATATTTTTATATCTCGTGAGCATAAATTATTATTTTTCCAAATAAATTAATAAAATTATAAACTAAAAGTGTTTGAGAGTAGCATTAAACTGTTTAATTTCTTTCAGATATTCTAATTTGCTTTTCATTAGATATCAGAATAATTGTGCCCTAGACCTGAAAATATAAGTTTTCAATTAATAGTTAGTGATGTTTGGTAGATTCTTTTAACTTAAGGCCACATTTTCCTTAAACCTAATGAGTCTGTGTCCCATATTGATTGGTCCTTAATGGATTGATTGGTCCTTTTCATTCAATGGATCTTCCGTTCATCAATCTTTCAGTTACAAATTGATAAAACAATATTTTCAAATATATATGTGCCCCATGACAGAATCGCTGTGACATTGTTGCCGAGTTCTTTCAGAAAGAATTTTCCTTTAGGAAATAAAAATTTTGGTTTTCTTTTCTTTAGCTCTTTCTTTTAGCATTTTCTTAAATTCAAAAAAAGCCTTTGTTGCATGTCAGATGGAAATAGAAATGTTCATGATTTTTCTAAAATGTTCATGATTTTTCTATTATTATTGAATAATGAAGGAAAAAATTTCTTTTCTGCAGAAATGTGCGAAAGATTTTTTTTCTCTCCATAATTATATTAAAAGACCTTTTCACGAATCAGAAGGGAAAGAAATGAACCTGATTTTTCTATTCTTATTTAGGATAATGAAAAAAAAGAGGAGATTTCCATATTGTGATCTGGGGCAGAATAATTGCCAAATCTTGGAAACTTCCGGGCAGTGGCCCGCGCGAAGCTAAATAAAAAACATCACAGAAAGAGACCAACTCCAAAGGTATAACTTGTAGCCACCCCCGGGCGAACATTCACATGTTTTTTTTCTTTCTTAAATTTAAAAGTTTAAAATCTACTTGGCACCTTGGCGATTGTATTTGGAGTGACAGATCAGGATACGGAAATATCCCCCCCTCCCCCCCCAAAAAAAAATTTTTTTGTTTTCTTTTCTGCAAAGATTTTCAAAAGACTTTTTTTTCTCTTCTCCAAGATATAGTAATGTATATAAAATAACAAAACTTTCATTTCATTTTTAAAGATTCTTTTCATGCACATCGGAGTGAAAAGAAATGTTCATGATTTATCCATTCTTATTTAAGAATAAAAAAAGTTTGATAATGATTATTTTTCAGCCAAAATTTAAATTAGAAAATTTAAGGGGGATGAAACCAAAATTGGCAAAGTTGAAAAATTGTGATATTTTCATTAATATTTTTTTCTATTACACCATATTTTACATGTAAATGAAATTTTACCTGTGAATGGAGATTTTTTTACAAATTTAGATTTGTAACAAAATAATGTCCTAGTCTTTTTCTTATTTTTAAAAAAATTTGGTTGGAATAAACTCTTTTCAATATTTTTTTTTAAAAAAATTATGCAGCACATGAAAATTTTAAATCATGCATTTGAGTTTTCACTTTTACGCTCACAACTCGTGACTATTTCGTTGTAAATATATCCAGTGTTTTGATACATTTTTTTCTAAATTATTACTATGAAATTATGCTTTGTTTTTTTTTAAAATCTCGATGTCTTTGATTGCTCAGTTATTATTTATATTCTCGTGAATTTTTTTAAATATGCCAATATTCTCATTAATCCATACAGTATTTCAATCGTTCAATATTTGCAATATATAAAAATCAATTATTTGCTTTTTGATGTGAGGAGTTAATCGTTTTTTGACTTTTTATTGCTAGTGCTACTAAATTCTACAGGGTTTTAAAAATTCCGGTTATTTCTCTGATAATATTTCTATGCTTAAAAGTGAAATTGCGCATTTAAATAATCATTTTATGGCGTGTTCTTTATGCGGATACTATTGCAAATCCACGTTGTGTTTCAATTGTATTTCGGGTAATTGCTATTGGTTTTCAGGTAGCTTTTAAATATCCCGATATATTTCTGATAAATGGAAAATTCGTATCGCACTAATGAATATTTAATTTTTGAAACAATGATTCTATCCCTTTTTCTAGAGAGGGCATTTATTTCCACACAGTTTTTAAAATTCCATATTTTTTTAATACGATATTTATTACCACGTACGGATCTCAAAACAGAGCACACATTTAGTACCCCATTTTTAAAGAGTCTGTTTCACATAATAAAATATTCCATATTCATTTTAAAAGAATTGAAATACAATTTTATTTCATCTAAATAAGATTTTTTTTTTGTAAACAACGTTTTTGTTACTTCAAAATTAATTAGTAACATGCATATTCGTTATTATTAAAAGTATCTTGCAGAAAGATATTAGTAAAAAAGAGGTTTGGCGCAGAACGCCCCAAAAATTTTGTATCATGTGAGCAGCTTAAATGATTATCCGCCTGTTACATACAACTGGTGGCTCCACTGTTTGAAGTGAAAGAAGCCTGCCCACAAGCTGCCTAGGGTCTACAAAAAAAAAAACCTTTGTAAAACTCTTCCTTATTTATTCAGTTTGTATTTAATTAAATAGATATTTTTGAAACATTTCAGTTAATTATAAACTATATTATTATTTTTAAATAATGTTAAGTAATTTTAATATTTTTTCAGAGAAAATTCAATTTAAATCAAAAAATTCTAATTTCTTTTGATTTTTATTTTTAAAAAATCATGAATTTTGCTAACCTTGTTGCCATTATGTTATGGTAGGGGGGGCAGAGAATCTCGTGTTTTCATTTTTAAGATATTTTTAAAGCTGATTCGATTAAGTGAATTTAATGTAGTGATTAAATATGTGAAGCAAAATGCTCTGAGACTTTTCAAATAACATTATTATTATACCTTTTTTACTTATTTTAAAAATCTATATTTTTCATATATTAAGAAACTTTTATGAAAATTATTTTGTTATCAATATAAAGTGTAGCATTTTGGTGTGTTATTGATAATCTTTTATTTTATCTATTTTAAGTGAAAGGTGCAGCTGTAAAGTTTTCCGCAACAGGTATTTATTTTTCAACACTCTTTTTCTTTTTAAGAGATAACCTATCAAAATAATCAATATTTTTTCAATTTTTTGCATTATATACTCAATATATAGTTTTATATATTTTTTTTTTTACTTCATTTGTGCTTTTACTCCCTTTTAATTCTTTTTAATAATGTATTTTCTCTGGTAACATTACCAAAAAGAAATAGGGATTAAAGAAAATGAAAAATCAATGTTACAGCAAATTATTATTATTTTTAAAAAAATTTATTAAAATTTTTAAAGCATACTGCCAATTAATTTTTAAGATAAAAAAAAAACTTACATATAGCAACTTGAAATAATTACTTTGAATTTAAAAATTGTTTGCAAAATTAATGCAGAAAACAGACTAGACTTAATGCGCTGTTTAATTTTTAATATCTTGCTTACAGAAATTAATAACTTTGAAATCAATATTATAAGTTAAATTAGATAAAGATTGCAGTAATCTATGTTTGAAATGAGTGTTTTAATTTAATACTTTAAATTTATATTTTTATACCCGGGGAAAAAAGTGACAATTAAAAATAAAGTTTATTGGAAACACCCCATTATAATGCTGTGCTATTAGAACAGCAAAAACAAACTGAAAAAAAGTTCTCAATTCTTGGGGGAAAAAAAGAGTTGAAAAAAAATGTAAAAGGCCGTATATATATCTGATAATTTATATCCTGAGTTAACCTCATTTAAATATTTATCACCCTTTTTAAATATTTCTTCATTGTCTCCAAGTTATTTTTTTTTTTTGTAAAATAATTCATTTTAATTTTTCTCAGCTCCTACTATCTAAAAACCGTGTAAACTTTAGATTTTCACTAGAAAAATATGTAGATTAATATGGAATAAAAAAAATCATACCTCATAATTCAAAATTTTTTCATCCTCAATTAAATTAATAATGAATAATTAAAAGTATTATATTTTGCATAAAATTATCTTTGAGCAGAATGAGTTTTTTAAGTGGGTGAATTATTATTATTATTATTTTTTTTTTGTTGAATTTCTTAATTAAAAATATGACTGAAAACACGAAAAGTGAAATTAACAATAAGGGTCCATGACCAAATTATGAGGACCATATTTCTTAGATTGTGGCTAGATATTTTGAAGGTTAAGAATCTAAATATTTTTTTAAAAAAATATATGTTTATTCAGAGAAAATATGTTCTTTTGTCTGATTTTGTAACTTAATATTTAGCACTGAATAATTGATGTCACCCCCAGGAATTATTAAGATTGTCACTTAGTATGTGAAAATCTGATCATTAGAACAAAAGTTAGTCAGAGTGATTTCTTTTTTCCCACTGTACAAGGTTAAATGTTATATTTATCTTGTTTGCTGTAAAAAATATATTAATAAAATATAAAAATAAGACTATTAATTGATTTAATATGTAAGTGAGTTATAAATTTCTGAAAATTCTAGTTAACAACTCTTGATTGTGTTAATTGATCAAAAAATTAATTAAGTCTTGAAGTATTTTTAGAGTGGCAATTTAGTTTTACTCAATCTCAGAAATCTGCCTAAATTGTGGCATAAAAAGAATTAATATCTATATTTAGATTGATACTAATTGATAACTTATAGTTATTACCTATGCTATAAACTGAATAGTTATAATATTAATTAAGTATTAAAACTACCATATTTTTAGAAAAACTAATTTATAGTTTCAATAATTAGGGCTATATTTTTATACATGACATATAATATAGTTTGTATGACATATAATATATACATATAATATAGTGAAGTATAATGTAAGCAGGGTTGCTACAGGCGACTAAAATGCAACTATATTTGGCATGAGATGACTATGGCAACTCTTTTTGCCTGAAAAGGCTAAAAAAGCAACTATTTTCAGGAAAAGGAGACTATTGGGAGACTTTTCTGTACTCCTAGCAATATTTTTTTTTATTTTTTTTTAAAAATTTAATTATTTTTTTAAAGCATAAATTGGATGGAAAATCTGCACCCTGCAAGATAGTTTTTGAACACACTTAACTTTTTTTTTCTTAAAAAATAAAAAACGTTGAAAATTTTCAATTTCAAATGTGAGTCTTCACTTTTCATATATATAATATATACATATATATTTACGTTTATTGCCACCAACTTGACTGAAAATTAAGTCATTAACAAAATTTTAGTCATATTCTTGATAAATTTTTGATCTTATTTAGGCAACTATTTTCCTAGTTTTTGACTACTATTTTCAAGCTTTAGACTACTAAAAGCAACTATTTTGTTCATTTTTTTCTGTGGCAACCATGTGTAAGTATTAAGCGTAATTTAATATCCAACTGAATGTCCCCAATGACAAAAAAGATGTTTGGTCCAGGTTTTGACAATTTCTGTCAGTTTTTGACACTTTTTGAAGGACTTTTGGTGTGTCATGTCAAAAACCCAACCCTGATTTAACCCTATAAATTTTATTTTATTGAAAGATTTAATTTGAATTTATATTACTCATTGAAATTTTTTTTTTTTATTCTTTCATTCTGAAAGCATTTTTTTTAATATATTTGAAAATAAACTTTTTTTGTCACATAATTAAAAAGACAATTTTTCCTCAATATTTATATATAGGTATATATATTATTTGACAAGTAGAAAAAATCAACGTATTGTTACGAATCGCTCGTATCAAATTGCTAATTTGAAGAGCCACTTTTTGACGCGGTCTATTCGTGCTGATTTTATCGCAAATCCAAATTATTTTGACAATTATTACTAACCATTTCTACAAGGGTTAGAAAGTCCCAATATTTTTAATACGCTATTATGACTCTTAATTTTGAATTTAAATACATCTCTTTTTGTCGCACTTTACTTGTGCTGGTTTCATCGTATATGCAAAATGATTTTAGTTCGCTTTTTGGCTGTTAATACTCTGCTTTTCCACATGATTTAAAGAATCCTGGTTATTTTTAATATGCTATTACAATTTCCAGAAAATAAATGTGTAAGCATGTGAATTTTAGAACTTAAAAAGTATGCATAAAAGCTATTTCTATTTAATGTTTAGTTAAAAAAAAATATTTAGATTATTTTTATAATCTATTCAATTAAATCTTATTCATATTCCAAAATATGCTTAGCTAAATATTCGGCAAAACTGCTGATTACGCCAATTACCAAATATTGACCGATTATTAAGTTACATCCCTAATATTATTAAGATGTGGGTAATTTTCTGCAAAAAGGCTAAAATGAGATTAATGAATAGGAATGTTTCTATTTTTCTATACAAAAGTAAATAAGTTATATGTCCTTATTGTATGAAGATGTCTTATTACATTATGTACTATATCATCAGTTTGAAGAAAAAAAAATTTCTTTAATTGTTAAACCTGTGAAACCTCATTCTCGTACTCTTATGAAAGCACAACCCTGAAAAGCAAAATATATATATATTTTTTTAATAAAGATAGGTACTTGAACTCTCATTCTTCACCTCGGAAGATGCTGGATGTGTTGCTCATTTGACGTTACCCAGTGGGCACCTGTGAGCCAAAGTCACGGAGACATGTAACATTGCCCACGTCCTT